CAGCAAATGATTTTTTATAAATAGCAGCTATAATTTTTTAAATAGCAGCATTTTTAAAATATGAATTTTTAAATCCAGCAAGCCAGCAGGGTTTCTTCCGATGGCTGGCAGCTTGCTGATAAGGAAGTCAACGTAACGGTTCATTGTAACGTTCGCATTACAATTCTGTCGCCAGTTTTAGCAGGATTGTTTGGAAAACAAAACCGAGGTTTGTACCTGTCGCGGCAATGGCTTTGGGAACTTTCCCATGGAACAGCGTGGACGTGTTGGGTGACGACGACCGCTTTAGATATGGACGCGTGGTGGATGTGGCGGACCAGGGCCTTTTCATCGACTTCCTCTTCTCCGATCGCCGACGTGAACTGACACCTTTTAAACGGGTATTCTTGCTTGATGATGTCCGATACTTGGCCCGAAACGACATGGTCCATTGCCAGCGTTCGTCCGAATTACCCGCAGAAGTCTTGATGCATGATATGGCTTCGGGCGCGTGGACGTGGTTCCCCGCGGAGCTGGACATTCGGTCCAGCGAGATCGCGCACACAAATTACACCGTGGCTATCATTCGTTGCGGGAAACCGGAGAAATCTGCGGATGTTGTTCCCCTGACGCGTGTCCGCTTCCGAGAGATTTTCCCGCGGCATTAGCTACTAAACTTACGGCAATGCTGAAACACCATAAAATCGAAATGAAACACCCGGCATGGTATCCCGCACAAGCTGTGGACGTTGTGGACGGCTGTGTGGTGTACATTCATTTCCGAGACAACGCTGAAGCGGAATTGGACGAGATTTATTTGAAAAATGAACTGGTAATCATTCTTCACGCATTTTTATCATTACCACGTTTAACCATGCAGTTTTGCAGGAAAATCTGAACAGGTTCCACAGCGCGTTGATAGGTTTCGTTGTACGGATGCCGGAACCATCAATCCAGATTCCAGCAGTAGATGAACTTACTGTGCTGCCGACGGAATTGTGGGCTGAAGTCTTCTCGAATCTGGATAGTTTGACGCAAACCCAACTGCGCCCGGTGTGTGCAAAATAGAGCACCGTTCTGGAATCGGCTTACTTGAAATTAACCATCATCCTCGACAGCGCCGCATTTACCGCGACAGACCAGTGCAAGGATCTTGGTCCCATGTATTTTATGGTCTCTGCGCTCTTCCAGTATCTTAATTCGTCGACGCAGTACATTGTCGTGGCCGACCGCAGAAAGTGGATGGGTGAGAGTGGCGTTGTGAAAGTGTTGGATATTATGGAGTGGATTGCGCAGCGCAATGTCCGTATCAGACTGAAAGGCATCTTGTTGTTCGGGTTGAAATGCTCTCTGCTGCAACACTGGAATATAGACCTTTATAGGGTCCCGTATGCATTCCATCAGCCTTCTTGCAACGTCTGACAAAACCCATCCTAGCATTTCGGTGTCGTTCTTGCGACAATGTCGCTTTGAGCCGATGCACTGTCACTTTGGACTGCAAGATATTCACTAGCCCGTATTTTAAGGGAAATCGGCTGAAGCAGGCCGTCGGTATTTACGTGCACCGACATCGCCTTGCTGGCGATTTCGACGGCGCGCTGTGGAGTGCCATGGAAGCGCAGTTGTTAGTGCCAAATGAAGCGGAAATTCGTGACAAGTCGACATGGTTAGCTGCATTGCAAGCGCCACCCGAGTTCACCAGCCTGGCGAGAGAGTATGTGGCCACGATCTGCAAGGTAAAACGGCAGCGGCACTGAGGCGGACACGTTTGTGAGTTGTGGCATGGCTTTTTTGTTGCAGGCGTTGTGTGCTACGCAGACGGCGGATCCGCGTCCATCGCTGCATTACCGCGGGAAGCAATGGTGCGTTGACGGCCCTCAGGATTTGCAGGTGGAGAAACTGTCGCGTGTGGCGCTGCATTTTTTCATCCAACTGATATGAGCCCTCCTCACTCACTTCCCAGCCTCAATGCCATCTGAAGAGTTCCCTGTTCATGTCGTAATTATTAGGATTGTATAATTTATTGGCTCCTTTCTACTAATGTTCAGTACAGTGATCATCTGAATGGGCTTACGTTCTGCCATCCCATTTATCGTCGCATGTGGCGTTAACGGACAACTGGTCACTACGGATGAATGCCGGCGTAGTGTTTATTGGTTGGTTTAAGTTTTTTTAATAACAAGGCGTTCCCCTTCTCGACCACGGAGATTTCCTTTTTTAAAGACTTTACTTACTGTCTTTACATTCGGAACCCGGAATGCCAAATCATCCAGCAACAGAACAGCAGATCATCCAGGACAGTAAGTCACCACAGTACAGCGCAAAAAGAGCAATCCTACTATGCTGCTCGAGTAGCATTTTGCCCCATTATTATTATTATTATTACATCAGGAGCAGACAACCCGCTAAACGGGACTTCAACGTCTGGTCGGTGAAAAGCTAAACAAAAAAGCAATTGCTAATACAGATCAACAGTTCGGAGAGCAAATTTGAAAAATCCCACACCATCAACACTGAGTATCTGCATGTTATGTTTCTGTATGCGCTCAAAAATGTTCTTTAGTCGCATAGTCAGCGTGCCTTCTCCAATTTTCTTCTTCGCACGGGCAGCAATTCTCGTCGGGTTCCGCAGGTTGTAACGCGCTCCCAAATCTGTTAAGTCGATCATTTCCACCATATACTTTGGAGGACGGTATGCTTCGTGGTTGTAGATCTTATACAACCAAACCGCTTCCGACTGCTTCCAACGGTCCTGCACCGGCAGGATGCGCAGTTTCTGATACAGCTCGGGTGTAACCGCTCCTTGTAATCAGAAATCGCCCGCAGTGCTTTCCCGCATTCCAGAAGTTCCCTCTCTTAATAGCTTGGTGTACTGTTCCTGGATGATCTGCTGTTCTGTGCTGGATGATTTGGCATTCCGGGTACTGAATGTAAAGACAGTAAGTAAAGTCAGCAAAATCTACTCACAAGGTCGCCATGGATAGACCGGAGAGACAACAGGCTCCAGTACTGTACATCGATAGTCCATAGCGACTCACAGGCGCTGTACAGCTTAACAAACGAAACAAAGAAGGATTATTCTACTGTAATATCGAACACCCAATTCTCCATCGTACTTAGTAAAAATTTTTTTTAATGTAATTGAAATCCATTTCAGTGATTTAAAATTGAACTCAAAAGAGTAAAGAACTGCAGTGTTACTAGGATGAAACCATTGCAGACTGCAGCGCAACTCTGCATAGCACAATGTTACTAGTAAATCTCTACGAAGGCTCTGTGTAATGGGCAGCCACCACGGGAGGCGTTTAACCCATCGTACGGCGTTTATCAAGTGGTACGGCTAATTCGGCTAATTAATGGCAGTCGATTGCCTCAACCGTGTGTGCCAGCCGCCGTGTATGCCATCCTGGGCGGGTGGCAAACCAGCCCTTAATGTTACGAAATTGGTCGCATCCACGGATTTTAAACCGATTTTATTTTTCTCCATAGACTGGTATGCTAACTTCAAATGCCTGCCATTCTTGAATTTGAGAATGAAACTGTACACGCTTATTTTCCATTGTCGACTGTGGAGCACTTGATATTACGGGACTTATGGGCTATCAGGTTTTGATCGAAAATTATGGTTGACCCGTATTGCGAAAGCTTATCTGGTTTTATTCAGCTCATCCTACACGCGCTGCTTTTCAAAACCTGCTACCTAAGCGTAAAGGGTTCTTCAAAATAGCGCACATCTTCTGAGGAGAAAGACAGTTGTGCTGATAACAGTTCTTAAAGCCACCAGTTTGAGCACGATCGAATTATAGAAGCCTTGTGATATTTCCAGATGTCGACGATGGCACCAGGAATCTTCCCGTGGAACAGTGTAGATGTCTTAGGCGAAGACAGTCTCTTTCGTTACGGGCGCGTGGTGGATGTGGCGGGACGAGGGCATATACGTCGACTTGCTCTGTCCTGATCGCCGACCTGAATTCACGCCTTTCCAACGGATTTTCCACAGCGATGACAACCGATATCTTGACCAAAACGATATGGCCCAGATGAGTCGCGTACCTGAACTGCCCGCAGAAGTTCTAATGAGCGGGAGTGCCTCCGGTGCATGGACCTGGTTCCCCGCAGAGTTACTCATTCGGACCAACGACATCGGGCACTCTAGTTACAGTGTGGTCTTGATCCGCCGCGGGAAACCGGAGGAGTATGCGGGTGTCATTCCCATGACGCGTACTCGATGGAAGACGCCATCCACTGATCGGCGGACTCAGATGGGGTGCAAATATCGCAGACACACTGTGGATTTGCCGATACACGTGGAGAAAGGGACATTCGCCACGCAGAGTATTCCGCTGTCAATCGGTTATCCCCGGGAACTGGTTACAGCAGCGCTGAAGCAACAGAAGCGACAGTTAATTTCCCGTTCCGGATACTCTGACCACGCTGTGAGCGTGGAGATTGTGGACGGCAGTGTAGTGTACATTCTGCGTCGATCTGATCCTGGTGCGAAATGCGACGAAACTCAGTTGACACGGGAACTGGTAAGAAACGACACGTTAGTGTGTGTTACTGTTTGCATGTACCGTTCGCTACTGTACATACAGTGTATTTGCCAGTACTTCGATGTACCACCTCAAAGATCGATTACCTTCGAGTATACGGTTCCAAATTCGATCACCGGTCCTGGTTCAGAGTTTTTGGGCTCTGCCTTTTGACACAGCTGTGTGGTAACATCACAACAACAGTGCTGAATGTGGAAACCATTCGTTATGCAAATTTTGTACCTTTAAGAAATGTGTGTAAAGAAGAAATTTTCGTCGATAATCGGAGTTGTAAGTTGAGGCACATAGTACCGACGATGAATCGTGTGATGTTTTAGGAAATTCTCAACCGGCTCTACACCGGATTGATTAGTTCCATGTCACGAGTGCAACAACAAGTAGTTCAGCTCTCAACAGCGAGTGGAGTCGCTGTTTTGCCGTTGGAATTGTGGACGGAAGTTTTCACGTATTTGGACACTGTGACCCAATCCAAACTGCGTCTTGTATGTCCATTATGGAACGACCTTTTGGATTCAGCGTATTTGAGAGCGAACCTCGTTCTCGATAGCTCGGCATTCACCAGTGCAGATCCTATTTATACGCCAATGTATTATTTAATCGCAGCTCTCTTCCAGTGTTTCACATCCGCGCAGTATATCGCTGTGGTTGATCGACAGCGGCGGATACGTGAAACGGGTGTCTGGGAACTGTTCGACATTCTTAACTTCATTGCACAGCGCCACAATGGCACCAGATTGAAAGCGGTTTTCTTGGTTGCGCTGCATTTGCATCTGCTGCGATGTGGGCTTACCGACCGTCAGAAGCTTTACCAGCATCTTCCAGGTGTCAGGAATGACTTTCTGGATTTGGATCTTCCATGTGACACCGCACATATTATAAGATGCACTATCGTTTTGGAATGCCGGAAGTCCGCTCAATATTCTAAGCGGAAGAATGTTTCGCTCTCTGCCAAGATTTCGGTGCATCAGCAACGCTTTACCGGCGATTTCGCCAGCGCGCTGTGGAGTGCCTTGGAAGCGGGATTTTCAGCGCCAGGTCACACCGAACTGCGTCGCCTGGCCACGTGGTTGTCATTGCACTCGCACGGCAAGCAAACACCGCGTGCGCAAGAATGTGTGGCCTTGGTTTGCGAGGTAAGACTGTCCCGGATGACGCCTGTGAAAAAGCGTAACTGTAAAGTAACTCTCATAAAGTACTGTACAAAACGTGTGTTTTACGTCGTAGACTCGCAGCGTTACTCATCATAACTTGATGTACTGAGACATGAACAGCGTAAATCACATATCCTCGGTAATCGTCAATTTAAATCTGACGACTGGGAGTTTAGGCTACAGCCGCTGACCGAAAACTAAATGCGATAATGCAAAAGCCTTACTGGAACATGGTATTCTTACAGACGTTATGCGTGACGCAGACAGCGGATCCGCGTCATTCTCTGCATTACCGCGGGAAGGAGTGGTGCGTGGACGGTTTGAAGGGATTGAAGCTGAAGAAGCTATCGCGTGTGGCGCAGGATTTCCTCATCCAGCTGATGGGTGCCCTTTCTTGAGCATAATCCTTAGCTGTTCCCGGTCTCCATTGCGTTGAGTTACGTAGCAGTGCGGTTTGAATCGCGATGAATATTGTGCTTATTGGCTGACACAGTTTATCCTTTTGTTGCGCTTCTTGGCACAATTTCGGTTGCTGATTTGTGAAATTGTAAGTTTTGGATCAGGCTACGTAGCTTACGGCGGAAGTTGATGTGCAGGCGTTTAAGTTACAATGTTCGCAATAACGTTCCGTCAGTAAATAAACTATCACAGGTGATTGCGAAATCGATGCGGATCCAGTTTTATCGATGCGGATGATTGCTTATCATGCGATTGGGTTTCTTATGTCGGACACGGTGACGTTCTGAACACACTCAATACAGGTTCCTTCCATCAAGCCTAAGCTCTTATCTTCTGTCAAAGTTACGTAATTTTTAAATTGGGATATAAAGTGCTCTATAATCCAATCTGTGAAAAACAGAAATTATCATTTTAGCTCAGTGAGATCTACTGGTTGTCAGTTATGAAATTAATATAACCCGTCAGCGAGGTTAAGCAGAATTTAGGGCAGTAATGAAGTACAGGTACTAACATAAAAATCATTAAAGCACCTGACGCGTGCTAAACCTATGAAAGACATACTTGTGGTAGTGAATCAGTTTGCAAACAAAAACGATTAACAATAAGAAAGCTGACCATGAAAAGCAAAATAAATAGATATCTTTTGACTTTCGGCCAAGCATCAGCGCGAGTACAAAAGTTTAATGCTTAACAGACAAAAACACGACGATGATTCCTTGTTGCGGTGCAAGATGAATTTTCACATAAAGCTAAGCGTCATTTTAAGAGGAAACAAATGAGAACACTCTACTTGTTGAAAATAATAAAATTTGCATGAAAGGTAGTAACAAATCAGAGAAGGGTAGAAGTCATGATAAAAGCCATGGAACTAGACAAAAAAACGTGTGGCAGTAAAATGAGTAAAATATTCAAATTGCTGGGAGAGGGCAAGTGTCCAGTAGCAACTACAAGGAGTCGAAATGTTCTGGACCGAAACAACATCTAAAATCCGTTTCCCTCGTCGACGTTTGCAGTTCGACGAGCAAACGCCGAGTAATGCGCGACAGCTTCTCCCACTGCAGATCTTGAAGACCCTCGGCATCCAAGTTCCACTCTTTTCCGCGGTAATGCGACGACGGACGCGGATCGCCCGACTGCGCCGCAGTGAGTATCTGCAAAGGCAATGGAAGATCTCAGGCCATAGCTATCCAAAGTCGTGAAACACATTTTACCTTGCAGACTGCCGTCTTCAATGCGGCGCCCTCGATCGCTGAGTGTTTCAACCGCTGCTGGTCACTCGATAGTTCCGGCAGTGAAGCCTCCAACGCATCCCGGAATGCGCAATCGAAACCATCGCCGAGCGGCAATTGCGCAGTGCCGATGTTGATCGTGACAAACGTTTGAAACTGATCTTCTTCCTATGGGTCAGCAAGTTCCCCAAAATAACTTCGCAGTTCGTCATGTGGATGGTATTGCACGGTAGATTGCGGCATGCGACAATGAACTCCAGATCACTGTCAGCGGACCTCGTGTCCAGCGCTGGCCCAGGAAGAAACCAATTCACGCCCATCTGGCCAACGTTAGTGTCGACCAAACAGCGGCTGATCAGGTTGCCAAGGACGACGCCGCGCAGATGCAAAGTTCGCAGCCGGATTCCGGTTTGTTGGGCAGCCACGTAGCGGATCAGGTCGAATACTTCCTTTGCGTAGTGCATGCTCCACCACTCATTCTCCCCGAGGTGCGTTATGACGATGCGTTGCGTGTCGGGGCGTAAACACTTGTTCACACTCGCCAAGCAGAGGAAATTGTCCGATTCCCACGTGAACTTGTGGCTGTACTGTTCGTTGCCGATTACTATTGTGGAACACAGTGCTGGCCCATCCAGGATCTGTTTCCACATAGCGCACACGGCGCGCAGCTGCGTCTGTTTCACGGTGTCCAGGTTTGAAAAGACCTCTTGCCACAATTCCGTCGGTAGCTCCAGCTGCGCAAAACCGTCTTCTATGGGCGGAACCGCTTCGTCAGGGAAATCTTTGGCAACGCTGCGCACTTTCTCTATGAACTCGTCAATGACCCACTAAAAACCGTAGAATGCAGAGTACGATGGAGGCGGTAGGTGAACTAAAGATTCAGATCTTTCAATATACGTTTACACGGTGCTGCAGAAAAGTCCTTACAAGTTTACAACTACAAGCAAAATATTTTGCCGTCGAGAAACCTACTTCTTCCTTACCGGGTAAGTGTCTTCATCGCCGATCTGGCAAATGTATTGTAAATGGCCGTCCAGGATGTCCACTACGAAAACGGGTGTGGAGTGAGACAGGCGGCCATTCAAACGCTTGATGAGCGCCTGGGCTACTCCGGTGGAGAGCGAAGGAAATTCTTCACCCAGTTCCACACTGCGCTTAACAAAGCTGCCTCGAGGGATTTCGTCGTCGGGTACGACGGCGCCCTCGACATCCTGAACTAGGCGAATACGCTGTAAGGGGATAATGTCGGTGCACTGTGCACCCGAGTCCTGCCAATGGACAATGGCCGCTTGGCACATTGGTCTCCGTTTTCCTGCCCAGTGGATTTCACCCGGCACCCAAATCCACGGACGCACCGGCGTCTCCGGCATCAGAAGCTCCCCCGGTATGATTTTCCGTTCAGCGACATAGAACTTGCCCAGTTGTTGTAAGATCGTAGGACGTGAGAAAAAGACGTTGCCAAACGTGATAAATTCACGTCGCCGATTCGGACAGAATAGATCGACGAAAAGGCCATCGTCTGCTATGTCCACTACGCGTCCGAAGCGCATCTGTTGGTCGCTGCCCAGAACGTTCACGGTGGTATCCAGCTTGGTGTAAGACGGCATGTTTCAGGAGAAAAGGCAGGAAGTGCGAAGCGTAGTTCAGCTGGGGTGGACACAACGGACTACAGCACACCAAAAAACGTTCGTACCGACCCTGTGAAAAACAAATACTGTAAGGAGTTTTAAAGGACTATGAATTCCACTACTTCGTATGGAAAGGTTATAACCAGCGTATATGCAAAACAATCTCGCTGCTCTGACTGCGCAAAAACGAATCTGATTCGAAAAATCGAATTCAGCTTCTTATATGTGTATCCTGAAATCTCGCTTCATCGCGGATCTGTAGTAACAGCTTTCGGAACGGTTATCGCGTCAGTTACTGTTTTCTCTTGCCACTCATACAGCCGTTTAACCGGATATAGCCAGAAAACCGGTTTCTTGTAAAGTAAGTTTGATGACTGCTCATTGTTGTTTCAAATTGCATAATGTATTCCGTTTCAATTTTCTGTAAATTTCTCTATACTGATTTAATCTACTGTACCTCCGAAGGACCTAATTAGTGTGCCTGATTGCTGCGGAGATTTCAACCTAAAACGTTTTGGCAGATTTATCCAGAACTGCTGATCAATGAGCAGGATCGGTAACTGTTGTCTGTTGATGAGCCGATCCGTTAAAACTGACCACTGTGTGCATTACTGTCGATTGGCCACTGCACCGAAAGTAAAGTACTTGTACTGACACCCTGCACTTGGAGAAATTTTGTACAGTATGAGCAGCACGGTACTGTAGACAGGTGGATTTAAAGCCGATTGCGTTCAGGCTGTTCAGCCAATAGCCAGCAGTCTGCATGCAGTTGCAAGCCGTGTATGTGAGCAGTGAACGCAGTCGTACAACGTACGCGTGGCTGCACAGCTAAAACTTTCTCCGAGTGCAGGGTGTCAGTACAGTACAGTAGCGGTTCCCAGAATCACGCTTTTACCCATTAACGGGATAGGTTTTTTAGGTCTGCAGACTCTTTACGCACTTGGACGCTCTAACACAAATAACGTTTTGAGATTACCGTGGAACGAAAAGGATAAATTGTCTTCTTGGAAAGTTGAAAAGTATTGCTCAGCAACTACCAAAGCACTGTAGCTCAAGTTGCATGATGTTAACTGAACAATCAGTTTCGGAAGTTTTCAATTGAGAAAATATAACAATTTTTTTCTTTGCAGCAGAATAACGAACTGGTCAGTCTGTTCGGAAAGTAACTTCGTTAATTATTAATTTATTATCATGCGATTGTGTTACCTGATGCCGGACACGGTGACGTTTTCAAACACAACTGACTTCCATGAAGTCTCACTTCTAACGTCTGCCTAATAATTTTTTTTATACAAGTGTAATTTTTTAATTCGGGACATACAGTGTACACTCAGTGTACAGTCCATTTTGTTAAAAAATAATTATCGTTTTTTTAGTTCATTGAACGCTATTGGTTGTCAGTTATAAAATACATCAGCGCATTTCATAACTGTATAACGCATCGAGGTTAAGCAGAATTTAAACAGATACAGTGAAATTAGTACTGAGTAAATCAATCAAATCCTCCGAGAGAAGCGCAAAGCGCTGACTAAGGCCGGACACACTGAGGTGTCAACTAGCAACTACAAGGAGTCGAAATGTTCAGGCCCGAAACAAATTCCAATACCGGTCCCCGGCATCGATTTTCGCAGTTTGAGGAGCAAATGCCGAGTAATGCGCGACAGCTTCTCCCAATGCAGATCTTGCAGGGCGTCGGCATCCAAGTTCCATTCTTTCCCGCGGTAATGCGACGACGGACGCGGGTCACCCGACTGCGCCGCGCTAAGTATCTGCAAATGCAATGACAGCTCTGGCCAAACTTACGGCAGTCGGTAACCTTGATGATAACGCGCACAGTACAGTCATATGTCCAGCCAGTCCGAGCCATTGCTTCCCAAAGTCGTGAAACACTTTTTACCTTGCAGACAGCCGCCTTCAGGGGGGCGCCTTCAATAGCAGAGTGTTTCAACCGCTGCTGGTCACTCGGTAGTTCCGGAAGTGCCGCCTCCAACGCATCCCAAAATGCGCAGTCGCAGCCGGATTCCGGTTTGGTGGGCAGCCACGTAGCGGATCAGGTCGAATACTTCCTTCGCGAAGTGCATACTCCACCAACCATTCTCCCCGAGGTGTGTTATGACGATGCGTTGCGTGGAGAGGCGTAAGCATTTGTACACAGTCACCAAGCATAGAAAATTATCCGATTCCCATGTGAAGTTGCTGCTGTTGCTTTCGTTGCAGATCACTATTGTGGAACGCAGCGCGGGCGCATCCAGGATCCGGTTCCACGTGACGCACACGACGCGCAGCTTCGTCTGCGCCACGGTGTCCAGTTTGGAAAAGACCTCTTGCCACAATTCCGTCGGTAGCTCCAGCTGCGCAAAACTGTCATCGAAGGACGGAGCCGCTTCGTCAGGGAAATCTTTGGCAATGCTGCGCACTTTCACAATCAATTCGTCAATGACCCACTGAAAACCGTAGAATGCAAGAGTATGCTATAGGATAGGTAGATAACTTAAGACGAAATTCTCTCAGTATGAGTCTCCACTGTGCTGTAGAAAAGTTCATACAACTATAAGCAAACTATTTGCCATCGAAAAACCGACTTCTTTCTTACCCGGTAAGTGTCTTCATCGCCGATCTGGCAGATGTATTGTAAATGGCCGTCCATGATGTCCACTACAAAAAAGGGTGTGGAGGAGACAGGCGGCTGTTTACTCGTTTGATGAGCGCTTGTGTTTTCCGGTGACTAATGAGCGAAATTCGTCGCCCAGGTCCACACTGCGCTTGATAAAGCTGCCTGGAGAGATTTTGTCGTCGGGTAGGACGTTGCCATCGACATCTTGAACTAGGCGAATGCGCTGTATGGGAATTATGTCGGTGTGCTGCACACACATGTCCAGCCAGTGAACAATGGCCGCTACACACATAGGGTTGCGTTTTGCTGCCCAGTGGATTTCCGCCGGCACCCAAATCCATGGACCCAGGGGTGTCTCTGGCATTAGAACCTCCGCAGGGATAATTGTCCGTTCAGCGATACAGAACTGGCCCAGATCGTACAAGGTCGTGGCACGGGAGAAGAAGACGCGGCCGAATGGCACAAATTCACGTCGACGATTCGGACAGAACAGGTCGACGAAGAGGCCATCTTCTGCTGTGTCCACTACGCGTCCGAAGCGCATCTGTTGATCGCTACCCAGAACGTTCACGGTGGTAACTAGCTTGGTGTAGAAAGCCATGGTTCGCGAGAAAAGACAGAAGGTGCGAAGCGTTGTTCAGGTGGAGATGGACACAACTGACTACAGTGCGAGTAGACCAAAAAGCGTTCTTACAGACCTGCAATAAACAAATACCGTAAGGAGCTAAAGGACTATGAATACCACTATGGACGAGGCTATGACCAGCGTTTATGTAAGTAATATAGCGCCCTGCTGTGACTGCAAAAACGAATCTGATTCGAAAAAAAATGTGAATTCAGCACATTATAGATGCATCCTGAAATCTCGAATCTGCAACACAGCTTTCGCAACGTAGTTATCGCGTCAGTTACCTTCTCTCTTTTCTCTCGTCACTCATACAGCCGTTTAAGCGGAAATACCCAGAAAACCGGTTTCTTGTAAAAGTAATTTTGGTCGATACTCATTGTTGTTTCAAGTTGCATAATGTGTTCCCTTTCAGTTTTCTTTAAAGTTCTCTATACTGCGTGCATTTACCTTCTTCTGAATACATAACCTGACTAGTGTGTCTGATTGCTGCGGAGATCTCAAGCAAAACGGTTTTGGCAGATTTCCGGAGCAAGTCCCGTTGAGGTCGCTATGGTACCGCACGTACAATCTGTACGTAACATTGCAATCTCTTCGGTTCTACTGTGCGCACTCAGCGCTGTTGTAAACACCTTTCCTGTTTCCTGTGAATGAGTTTCGTCGCTGCTTCGTAGGGACCCCGGTTCCTCAAGATCAGTTATAAGTTTTTACCGGCTTTTTTGATGGTGTCTAAAATTAGAGCCTTTCCACATTAGACCTTCGTCAGCACCTGAGGCATCAATTTTCTAAATTTAATAAAGCAGTATTGAAGCTTTCAGCGAGCGCCAGTCCACAAGAAAAGTCAAGACGAAACCGTTCCTTGAAAATGATTGAGTGGAACTTCAGAAAGTACGCGTACTTAGTATATCGCACTCCAGCAGCTGGTTAATAACTGCCCCAAACTTTTGTTGCAGATTACCTACGTGTAGCTATCATATAATCGACGAAGTAATAGAACTCCATCTGCAGTTAATAGGGTACGTATCTGTACTTGTACTATTATTCAGTGATTAGAAATTGCTGAACCGATCCGTTACAGTTTACACACATAAATGGCGACTGTTTCACGCGCTTTCACGCTGGATTTGTACGCTGATGGGCTAGCGAAAATTTTTCGCAGCTTGTGCCTTGCCGTATTCTCCCGTCTTTCTCTCCTTTTCTTTTGTACTTAATTGACTTAACCTGTTCTGCCCTTCCAACCGCTGCTCCGCCTCCCACGGATGTCGCCGCGATATGCCACAAAGCCACTGGCTTGTGGCATCCACATCATTCCTCCTCTTTCCCACGCAGCAAAACCGCCGCCGCCGTCAAAACGCTTAGCGGAGTACTGTACTACCCGCCCAAGCCGGTTGGCGTTCACGTTCGCCAATGTTCACCAGTCTGGACTAGGTATGTGAATATACAGTAATTCTGCTGACAATTTCGATTTTAAAATTACCTATCCGTATTGGATAGTTTCTGTTTCTTTCTTGAAATTCAGAATCCACAACGAAGTGCTATCTCATTAATCTCACCATTCGTGTTTCTTTCCCATCGTTAATTTGTTGTTTGTTTTTGGACAGATCGCTCGCGCTGCGCGCAGTCTTCACTTCGCGATCAAACATTTACAGTAAGTGAACAGCCAGCTGGCGTGAAATCTGTAGCCAATAGTGGTACGAGACGATGTATAGCTTATTTTTCTCTTTTGACTGTGAAGCACTTATTTCTGGCTCACAAGACAGAACCTCAATCTGAACTCAGCTAAATTTGATTCCGCTCGCAAACCCATACTATACATTTCAAACACCGCTAAGGGTTCTCATCCTCACATAGCGCACATGATCTGAGGAGTTCAGCTGTACGATTGGTTGTACAGCGCACTAGCCAGCCACTTTAAATTTTGTTCTTACCTTTAGCAGGATTGAATTGTGCGAGCCTTATGATCTTTTTGATTGTCGACAATGACCCCAGGAATCTTCCCGTGCAACAGCGTGGATGTATTGGGCGACGACGGTCTCTTACGTTACGGACGCGTGGTGGATGTGGCGGACCGGGGTCTTTACATCGACTTCCTCTGCCCTAATCGCCGACGTGAATTCACGCTGTTTGGACGAATGTTCCACAATGATGACAGCCGATATCTGGACCGAAACGATATGGCCCGGAGATATCCTGTACCTCAACTACCCGCAGAAGTTCTGGCGCGCGAGAGCGCCTCGGGGGCGTGGACGTGGTTCCCGCGGAGTTACGCATTCGGACCAGCGACATCGGGCACTCTAGTTACAGCGTGGCCGTGGTCCATCGCGGGAAACCAGACGAGTATGCGGATGTCATTCCCATGACGCGTATTCGCTGGAAGACGTCACCCACTGATCGGCGCACTCAGGTTGGGTACAAATATCGCAGACAGAGCGTGGATTTTCCCAAACAGGTGGAGAAAGGGACCTTCGTCACGCGCTGCATTCCGTTATCAGACTGGTATCCCCGGGAACTGGTTACCGCAGCGCTGCAACAGCAGAATCGAGAAGTGATTCCCCGTTTTGGACACTCGGCTCCCGCTGTCGGTGTGGAGATTGTAGCTGGATGTGTGGTGTACGTTGTGCGTCGATCTGATCCTGGTACGGAACCCGACAAAGCTCAGTTGACAAGAGAACTGGTAAGAACGTTAACATTATTCTGTGTTGCTGTACATGTATTCAAAGTGATCTGTCTTTGAGACACTTCGAAGTACCGACTTTGAAGAATGAGATTTTCAGGAATATATCAACAGACTCTCCACGACGTTGACTAATTCCGTTTCGCGAATGCGAGAACCAAAAGAACAGCCAAAAGGAATGGCAAAAGTTGCTGTGCTGCCGACGGAATTGTGGACGGAGGTGTTCTCTTATCTGGACACTGTGACGCAGACCAAACTGCGCCCTGTGTGCCCAACATGGAACATCCTTCTGGATTCACCTTACTTGCGGGCGCGTATTATCCTTGATAGCTCGGCGTTTACCAAAGTGGATCCTAATTATGAGCCAGTTTATTTCATGATCGCCGCTCTCTTCAAATGTTTCAAATACGCCCACTACATTGCTGTAGTTGACCCACGGTCGTGGATAAGTGAAGCGGGTGTCTGGGAAATGTTCGACGTTATTAACTTTATTGCACAGCGCCAGAATGGCAGTAAACTGAAAGCCGTCTTCTTGCGTGGACTGTGTTTCTGTCTGCTGGATAGCTTTTATCATGACCATCCCACGCTCCATCGATATTTATCGGGTGCCAGCTGTACTCTAGAGAATCCGGGTATGATATACCGCGGTCTTCCATGTGACAACGTCCATATTAAACGGTGCAGGATCGTTTTGAGTTGCTTGGATTATGGTTCTGATATTATCCTGTCTGTCAAGATTCGCGTGCGTCATCAACGTCTGACCGGAGATTTCGCCGGCGGGCTATGGAGCGCCCTGGAAGCGGGATTGCCAGCGCCAGGCCACACGGAACTGCGTCGTCTGGGCACGTGGTTATCGTTGCACACACACGGCAAGCAAACGTCGCATGCACGTAAATGTGTGGCCTTCGTCTGTAAGGTAAGGCTGCATCGGACGAGACTTGTGCAAGTGCACACATTCGGCACAATTTCCCTAAGATAGGAGTTATATTTTCGAGTTACTGAGTTATTAGGAGTTTAGGACGCACTCTGAAGCGCCTATAGGTTTTACCAATACATTAATAGCTTACCTGGCATGCTCGCTATAACTCCACTTTCCATCAGTGCTCCGGTCTTGTACGGGACGCTGGAAGCAGTAACAAAAAGCTTTCCGCTGTGATGGTTTTCTTGCTGTAGACGTTGTGTGCGACACAGACGGCGGATCCGCGTCCAACGCTGCATTACCGCGGGAAGGAGTGGTGTGTGGACGGTTTGAAGGGTTTGAAGCTGAAGAAACTGTCGCGTGTGGCGCAGGATTTCCTCATCCAGCTGATGGATGCCCTGTCGCCTTAATTCCTCCTGGTCCTGTGTGCACCGAATCACGTGGCAATACAGTTTATAGTCGCCATGAAAGGGAATTTTAATGGTTACTTACCTTAATACAGTACCTTTTGTTACTTTTTCGTGTCGTTGCCGATGTTGATTGAGCAGTTAGAATTGTCGGGTACATCTGTCCATGCGTAGTTGTGCGGCGGAACTAGTTCTAACCCCCTTTTTTATAGATTCTATCTGTTGCTAATTTTCTTAGGATTTTCTCACGCTGTGTATAAGTTAGTTAGTGTCAGCAGAAGATATAAGCGTTTGTGTCGGACTGTAAATGTGGAGATTGTATGTGTGGCTTCTTTCTCGCTCTGTACTATGAAACTGAAGCTATAGTTAAGTAATACTTAGATAAATTAAAGTCTGACAGGTTGATTGTGGAATCAGAGGCGCTATACTTCGTATCGTGTAAGTTCTTACAGTTATTAAACATAATAATTTTAAATAATGCTAACAAAAAATAATTTATAATAATGTTATTTCCATTCAGAGGAATTTTCATCATGCATTTATTTGATTGATTTATTTATCGATAAAACACTCGGATAAAAATCTACAAACACAGCACACCAAACAGAACGATAAAAAGCAATTACAAATGCATGAGACATGCGCGAAAAAAAAGAAAAAAATCAGTGCGGAACTCTCCACGTAAATGCCATGCGGGGGATGGTCAATAAATGGTCAAGAACACCGTCTGTCGCTAAATATGCTGGCAACCATTTCTGGATGTTTTTCTTCAAAGGAAATGCGCCGGTCGCAGGGAGCGCTTCCGTCTGCGCCGGTAGCCGTTAGGCC